TCATTTAAACGTGTGATCAGATTAGTAGAACGTATCGCTCAGAAACAGAATACTTCTCGGACAGACTCCGTTGACGTTAAACAACGAATTTTTTTTACATAGTATGCATAAACGAGAAGTTAAATGAGATAAATTACTATATAACGACAGTAAAGAGATTAGTTCCTAGGGTTGCCGAAAAGTTAGTTGAGAAGAAAAAGATGTTTCACTTTTAAAAGCTAAATACTATAAGTGAAACATTGTCCATGTTTAAAAAGTCAGTTTTCTTTAGTCACTGTTTGGTAAACATTTGATAAACCCTAGTACTGAAACTGTTGTCACAAGAAGGTTTCAGTAAAATGTTCACGAAAAATTCACATATTTAAACCTTAATGCACTTACGTCATTCATAAGTGACATTTTAAACTTTCAAACATGTACTTTATACATGTCGAGAAGTGAAGTCTCAGCAATATTTTACGAAAAAAGAAGACTGAAAATCCCTTATACTTATGGTTTGTAAATTTTTACCTCTCTTTTTAAACGATCCTCAACAAACCACATTTGAACATAAACTTGCCAACGACCAGCTCCAATATATAAATATTGACAATGGGTGAATAGGGCTGGATGATTTGGAGCACGCTCTGGGGGGTTGACGTGTACAGTTTGAGGTTCATAACGTTCAAATTGTTCTACAACATGTTTTCATCATCGTCATCATCCTCGTTATCATCGTCTTCATCATCCTTATCATCATCATCATCGTCAATTTCACCATCATCTTCCTCTGGTTCAGAGCTACGATTTTCGTGTTTACTGATTACTGTAGATGCAGATAAAATATTCCTGTCAGACATTTTTTCTTCAAGTGGACCAAAAGCTTCAGTATTCAATACTTCTTTCTGTTGCGTATCTACAAGATCAAGTCTCTCGCTAACAGGAGACATATGTTGAGATCGATTTTGTTCTTTTGGTGACGATAAACGTGTATCGTGTTCGTGGACATCAGAAACATCTTGACCGCAAAGCTCCTGGAAAAAACCACAACAATGAACTTCAAGTACATTTATTCTTCAGATGTTTTATTATGCTTTATTCAAGTTATCAAACAATCCGAATGTATGAAATATATAATGCATAAAAAATTTCTAGGAAAGAGCCTTAAATTAAGTACACAGTTTAAATGACATACTTTCTTGACAACCTACGGCAAACGACTTCGAAATCTCCAGAAGGAATAAAGTAACTTGAATATGTCGTTGAAGAGATTGCTTAGTAATCAAACATTGTATAAGACTGAAATCGTTCATGAGAGCTGAGCCTTACATGGATACTTCAAGCTGAAACTTGTTCACTGATAATCAGTGTTGTACTAAAGATGTGAAGTTTAGTGCAGACACTGAAATATGTCACAAAAAGCTTCAGCATTCTTTTAGGCCAATGGCCTACACGCTTTTGTTCATCACTAACATTATCAAGTGGTCTACTATCTCACACTAAGATGGAATAAAAGGTTACAAGAGGCAGACGTTTGAATTTGGCCAATGTCCTTAATTAAACCCGCCCACCATGAGATGTGACAATTAAAATTTAAAAAAATTGAAAGAATACAGTAAATGCAATCGAACATGTGCTGATCATTACTTTCAAGTGGTTAGTTAGTTAAGACCAACTAAGTACATCTATGATACACTCATAGAGAGGACAACTTAGTTATCTTGAGAATTAATTTTTCTCTATATGAAAAAAATACAGTTCTTTTATATTTTGAAAAAAACCGATTTGTAGTTCAGGAGCGTATTCACTTTGCATCTTCTGAGTCATATAATAACACTAGTACGACCAAATCTCCTCGACATTAGCAGTTAGGTAATATTCGCTCAGGTATCTTACAAATTATAGATTTATATTTTTTAAAAACATTATTTTTCTAAAAAAACTTGTGTGGTGTGTCACACTAACAACGATTGTTTTTTCTACTAAAAATGTTTCAAAATTTGATTTACTGTTGCCAATGTCATTCTTCATAGGTGTTCTATAAATACAAGCATGTATATAGAATTAACTATGTAACCAACTCATGCAAAAATATATCAGCATAACCCAAAGCAAAATTGAAAACAGGCTGTCGAAACAGGAAATTGTAATTATGTTTTTCTATACGTAATACCGACATAAAATCTGAATGCTTAACGTTGATTGGTGTACATACTGTCATAATCGCGAGAAGTAAGACTAAGTACCCAGGTACCCAGGTAGAGATATTCTGTGGAAACCTATAAGCCATAAAAGGGATGTGATCAAATTTCTAATAGTCATCAGTAAAGGTGGGCACCTAGTCTTTGGGAATAATAGTTATCTGATATGGCGAAGTACAACCATGTCTACACAAAAGAGAAATGAGTAAAATCCAGTCCAATGAAGTATTAGTCCAGATTGGGAAATATTAACAATAGAGAGAAAAAAATCAAGAAGCCAGAAACACTAGGGAAATGAAAATGATTATATTAACTCTGATAAGCAAAAAGGCAAAGAATGCAAGTTAAAACGAAGAACGTAAAAGAACAAGCTGGGAAATACAAAATGCTTATCATCCACAATCAATCAGTATCATATAGGACCAGGAACTACTACGTAACGGTCCCAGTTGCCACACTCATATCAGCACATCAAGTAAAAAGGCAGTGAAGAGCACTGTGTCTACGTTTTTAAGTGATGAAGGAGAGAAAAGCATCTCTCATTAGCACAATTAGCGAACCACAAGAGTCACATATGAAGCCAGTTACTTATTGCAAAGACGCAAATCACAAATTACAGAAATAGTTACATGTCAGAAAATGAATTTATGCGCTTACTCCAATGGAAAAGTAAATAGTTTCATGTTAGCGCTTAAATTGATTTGAATGCCGATACTTTATCTCATTTGACTGCACTATAGGCAATTTAATCGATTCATGAAAAGCAGTCTGATGTACCGCACAAACCTCCGAAAAATATATAACAGTAATCGTGTATTATTCCTTACAAAACCGAATCATCATGCATCATCATCAATATCAACATACGACCAGGCATTACTGCGTAACAGGCCCAGTTGCCACACCTCATATCAGCACATCAAATAAAAAGGCAATGAAGAGCAACATGAAGATAAGAAAATTCAGTCAAAAGAAATATGAACAACAGAAAAAGAGAAAGGAAGAATGAGAAAATGGTGAGATTCAGTATAGCATCGTTAAGGTGACGATAATATGTATATACCAAACATCTGCGCCACCGACATCGGTTATCAGCCATCCATGCCATCACCACCAGTCTCCAACCACTCCTTCCTCCTCTCCCACGGACCCCAACCACCTAGTCTCCATCGCCCCACATACCTCAAACCAACACTCAACAACTTCATACATTGGGGCCATGTTTTAGTCTGGCCACCTCGGGCCTCTATCCAGCCTAAACCTACTTCCGCCAACATTGTGTGACGAGGCAATCAACAACTAGGCATACGTAATACGTGTCACAACCATCTCAGTCCATGAAGGTTCATAACCTCATCAACTGATTCACCTCTACTCCCTAAAACTTAACACCTCAACCTGACTTCAGCATTACTCACGTGGCGACACCATCGAATACGGCCTATACTACGAAGACAACCGTGGTCAAACACTTGAAGCCAGCCTTCTCATGTCTCCCACCTTCAGTCGCCATCTTTCACAGCCATACAGTAGAACAGACCGGACTGCTTTGCAGTGCACGTCACCCTTTATACGCAATCGGACATCACGGTGGCGCCATAGGTGATGTGAGTTGGCAAAAGCCAACCGAGCCATTTGTATCCGTGCAGACATTTCGTCGGCCACTGAGCCAGTCACCAGGACTGATCCTACTTCCCAGGTAAGTGATTTGGTCGACACACTCAACCTATTCACTTTTCATTGTTAGCCACGGTGGGGCACAGTTGAAGACCAATCCTGGAGCAATAATTTGCATTTGAGTGGTGAGAACCACATATCAAACATTCTCAAATTCCCACTCAAAGTGTTCAGAAGACTCTGAATCTTGTCAGCGTTTTCACCCAACAGGACTACGGCAAACGCACTTCAAATATTGTCAAATTGGCATCCAAGGTAAGCGGATGACTTTGCATCGTGTCAGTGCTTTCATGCATGAGGAATATACTATTTCCACACCCTAGGCCTATGAAGAGGTCTTCGGCGACAAGATACATCTCTGTAGTGAGATATTGATAAGGAGACTTTCACAAGCAAGCGTATGACAAAAGCGTGTGAAATAAGAATGGATACTACTCGAAATACACACTTCATGTGACAATTTACCATCGGTTCTGCTGTGACGTGTTGACTGGTGTTCCCATAAACAGGCTTCAATATGGTGATGCACCTGTTATGCATCCCTTTCAGTAAGAGGCATCACCGTAAGACCACCTATTGGTGGACGGAGTTTAGCGCCACCTTTACGTCAAGAAATACATATAATGTTAAGAGTCAGTAAACGTCTGCGATCTAGAACGTGGTGCAAGGTGAATATCTGGTCAATTCTCTAACGATTATGTCTGTACTCTGTCTGGTTTTAATAGATCTCAAGCCTAGAATATTGGACAGTGTACTCGTCACACTGATCATCCTGTGGTTATCATAAGACGATTTCTTTCGTTTCGCAAGGAATGGAACAGTTAGTGATTGAGACAAGTAAGAGGAGATTATATTTAAGTTTCATGCACAAGGTAACACTACAACTGACCTCACTAAGAATCCGCGACCACTGTCCTTAAATACTCCAGGCGACTAACTTACAACGCACGAGAGTGAAAATTAAGACCTGGCATCGGCTAGTATCACAACTCTTCTCAGTTCTTACAGATCCATTCAGTCGGACAACACAAAGATGGCTATTTACTGGTATCCAATTCAAAAGTGTGCTATCTGATCTACAACTTAGTGCGATGTTTAAACGAGATCTAGACATTGAAACTCTGGACAGTCGTAAATCGGACTTTGTAGATTCACTATATTACTATATAAGCTCAAGTGAATAAGGACACATGGGTCCTGCATGCGTATCTCAGAAACACAGGGTGCACTTATGGTTTAGCATACCAACGTTTTTGAAAGTATTGACAGTTAACCGATTAGGCATAGGGTTCAAACCCTGAAAGCTTTAACATAAAATAGACAGCAGCGTTTAAGAAGAACATAAATGATGTATCTATGGCTTGGGTCGTTAGTAGCGGTAGCAGGACTAAAGTTGGCTTAGTTGTAAAACGTTTAATACCGATATCAGGAAGTGAAAGCAAGAGAGAAAACAAAAGTAAGGAGGGTAAGTTATATTTGATTGCATTTCGTATACTGCTGGAAGCGTGAGCGCAGTCGGTACTGTTCAGTTGCCCACACCGTGGAAGGCTCTCTTCTTGAAGTACTTCAAAAAGAAGGCTTAGTGCGTGGCCACAGTGCTCAGATAACATCTGGATTAGGACGGTCGCATACGACATTCTTAGAGGTTTGACAGTTGAATTTTTTTCGTGAGTCGGACTATGATCACATATCGCCAGCGCCAGTATGCTACAGGTAAAAGGGTAGTGTGCTATTCTTATGACCGACCTTTCCTACACCTCTACGCTTCCCATAGGGAAGACAGCATCAGCGTAGCACTGCTGGTCACCCGTAGAAAACATCACATTGCTGTCACATCCTCGTCCAGCCAGCAGCACGAATTCGCTCTCAGACCCCCCATCATAGCTTAGCTGTCTGCGCTATAACGGTAACTGCTTTTTTCTACTGACATATGTGGAGTAGTAGAATCTTGAGGGAGCCACCGTTTTAGCCAGTACACCTCGTTGGGTCGTTGTGTTACTCAAGCCTATCACCACGTCAACGTAGTAGCCATCGGTTAGATAATATGAAAGTTGACAAAAGTGTATGCAAAGAGTCACCAATTAGGTGAAAATTAATAAAATGTTTAAAATTCTCGAAGATGATAAAGATTATTTACATCTGTGGCATTGAGACAGATTTTTAACTAACACCTGATTCTCAGCATCTTGAGGACACTAGCCATGCAGCTCATATCCTCAGTTGCCCCGTGAATTATTCTGAAAATAGGGTTAAATCTTCAACATATTTCCGATGGTTATCTATCTATAATAACAGTTGAAAATAATAGCAGATGTATATGATCATGGCATGAGTGTTTTCGGTGACTAGGCAGGGTTTCTGTTAGCAGAATGAGTGGATATTATAACCATTCATTTAAAAAATGTCTGAAAGTGAAAACCGACTGCGACTAGTATACAGGACCATACTCAGATAGGTAGCATGAACAGTAAGTAGATTCCAGATAAGCAGTAAAGAAAGCCATGTGAATATGCATGTACACAATACTAATATCTTGAATTGACATTATAAGTCAATCACTAAAAGCATTATACTTAGTGCATTTCAGTCTCTTACTTGAATGGCACACAAGCTAAAAGCCTGAAAATACAACTCAGCGACCACCTACACTTTTTGTTGTAGAAAATGAGCAACCAGTTCTGTGAAAACTCCCGGCCGACAGTTGCTCCCTTTAAGTGGCAGCCGAGGTTGCATATCACAATGACCCAATGAACTATGCTGGTGGCACGTTTATTCTCTCAGCATCCCGTCATAGCAGAAAGGTCTGTTCGATAATGGTTAGACAAAAAGCAATCATCAGAATAGTGTACATTGCTACGCTACGATAGGGGTCTGACGGCGAAGTCGTATTGTTAACCAGACGGGCGTGTGACGGCAGTACTGCGGATGACCAGCAGTGCCACGTTGATGCTGCCCTCCCAATGGAAAGGGAGTATATAAAGGTCAGCCTCAATAATAACACACTCCACCCGCCACACGGTCTTCCGGTGCCAGGCGGTATGGGTCCTTTCTATCCAGCGTTAGAACAACCAAACCTCAAACAACATCCCACAAAGGGTCCTGTGTGACAGATCTCAAGCAAATGTCTTTTAGGCTCTGTGGTCACACAAATCGTTTTCTCTTTTAGGCAGGTTAAGAAGAAATAGCCTTACAAAGTATAGGAAGTGTCAACCGCCCAAACGCTTCTAGTAGTACACAAGACCCAATCAAACATAACCTCCTCCTTTGCCTTCAGTTGACCCCTAATAGGGTCACTCTTGAGGAGTCCCAAAAGGGAAGAAGCAACTGTCCAGTGCTCCCAGGC